GTGTTGTAGTGTCGGTCGTTTTTTAGTCTTGTTTTTAGTTTCTAGCTTGGCTAGCTGCGGTTCTAGGCTGTCTCTGACCTGTCCTCCCACTCTTTCAGCCATTGGCTGTATTATTCAGCCTTGGGTTGTACTTTGCACATTTGTGCATTTTGAATTATAATATTTCTATCGTTTCGTCAAAAAAATTTTTTTTTGCAGGTCGGTCTCTCCGGCAACCCAAATCCGGCGAGAAGAACTCAGGCAACAACAAATCCGGCCAAATAAGTGATTCTGACGTCAAATTTGTGTGGCCAAAAATTTATTTTTTCCGGCAACATTCGTGCTTTTTCCGGCCAAAATTTGAAGTATCAAGTAATATATGTATTATATGAGCATTTTGGAGACCAAAAATCATGTTTAATACGTATATATTTGGTTAATTTGTTTGGGATTGAATTTTGAAAATTATTGTTCCTATTAACCCTAAATTAATTAAATTGATCAAAATCTCTTATTTCATGTTTATGTATACGAAATTAATGCTATTGTTAAGTTATGTAATGTGTTATTCACCCTAAAACAAGAAACTAAGGTGGGAATGATCACTGTACCACTATTCTTGATTATTGTACCTCTGTTTGCATGTATATAGTACCACTTTAATACTGTTTTGTACCATATTTTCCTGGGAAATGTGAAGTTTTTTTTATTTATCCAAATATTGTTATATACATGGAAGGGGCACAAAGTGATATACTAGGGAGTTGTACGTACAAGAATGAATTGTTTATGTTCTCTATGCACATTGGAGTCCAAAAATCATGTTTAATTCGTATATATTTGGTTAATTTGTTAGGGATTGAATTTTGAAAATTGTTGTTCATATTAACCCTAAATCAATTAAATTGATCAAAATCTCTTATTTCTTGTTTATGTATACGAAATTGATGCTATTGTTAAGTTATGTAATGTGTTATTCACCCTAAAACAAGAAAATAAGGTGGGAATGATCATTGTCCCACTATTAATGATTATTGTACCTCTGTTTGTATGTATATAGTACCACTTTAATACCGTTTTGTACCATATTTTCCTGGGAAATGTGAAGTTTATTTTTTTTTTTTTATCCAATTATTGTTAGATACATGGAAGGGGCACAAAGTGATATACTAGGGAGTTGTACGTATAAAAATGAATTGTTTGTGTTCTCTATGCACATTGGATCAACGTTTGACGAAGTGTACACTCTCATATCAAAGAGGTGGCCGAACTTTAATTTCGAATCCGTCGTGCTATGCTATATTGCGCCAAAGGAAAAAAAGAGAGTTAGTTTGTTGGATGATGAGGATGTGAAGAACATGATTCGATTACATGTTTGTTGGAAAATAAATATTGTAGAGATAATTACCATTTAAAGAAATGAAATACCGAATGTTGGAATTCAATCGATCCCGATGAACATGAGCAGGTAATGTTGCTATCATAATATTAATGAATTTATTATTGAAATATGGTATCGTCGTATCATATCCTAGTTCATTAATTTTTTAACTAATTCCATTATTTATAAATCTTTGTATTATTTTGTCATGAACACAGGGAAAACGTACAGTCTGATGATTTCTCGGAGGAAGAAGATGAGTTGTTGCAAGACAAATTTCGAAAGATTGTCAAAAACTACGCGATTGCAAACAAGCGGTCTTATGTATCAAAAAAATGGCAAGCAGAAGGTCATCGTTTGTTGTAGCGATGCGGATTGTGAATGGATAGTATATGCATCATTATACAAAGGGGATAAGCAGTTTGCCATCCGGAAATGCAATCTCGTCCATTCTTGTGTGCTTGTTTTCATTCTGAAGAGTGGGTAGTAAATGATACTTTATGAGTAATATTTTTTGTACAATATACTTGCATTTCATACTGCAATATAGGTCATAGTTTTGTGAAGTTTTAATCGGTGTATTACATTTACATTCCAGAAAGTTGGTACTAATTGATCAATAACAGGTACTTGTAGAAGAAAAAGCGGTATTATATCCGTCAAAATTGGTACCAGTCAATGAGTTGAAGTGTATTAAGTAGTGTTTTTCCATTAGTGTGTTGAGTTCGTGACCAATTAGCGATTAAACTTAATTAACCAAATATCAAATATCATAGAAACTAATGCCAGAGTGATTATGGGTCGTATAAACATCATTTGCGACTGAAATTCGATCTTCTTATGTGTTAATTACAAGTGGTACTAGGGACATGATATATGGTACTATCTCGCCATAAAGTGGTACTGCATTACACTATGGTTGGTACTACTTTTTGTAAATGTTGAGCAGAATTGAAATAATCAATTTTTTTTTCTTCATAAAAGTTGGTACTAATCAATCAATAACAGGTACTACGTAGAAGAAAAAAAGGTATTATTTCTGTAGAAACTTGTACCATTCAATGAGTTGAAGTGTAAGGTGTTTTTCAATTAGTGTGTTGAGTTCGTGACCAATTTGCGATTAAACTTAATTAACCAAATATCAAATATAATAGAAACTAATGTCAGAGTTATTATGGGTCGTATAAAAATCATTTGCGACCAAAATTTGGTCTTCTTATGTGTTCATTACAAGTGGTACTAGGGACAGGATATCTGGTACTAGATCGTCATAGTGTGGTACTGCCTTACACTATGACTGGTAGTACGTTTTGTAAATGTTGAGGAGAATTGAAATAATCGATTTTTCTTCACAAAAGTTGGTACTAATCGATCAAAATCAGGTACCACACAGAATAAGATGCGGTACTATGTTTCCCAAAATTGGTACTATTATCAAAATCGCGATTTCTCTCATCCTTCATGTCTACCATGACACGTTGATCGTTCACAAGTGATTTGGATGAAAAAAAGTGGAATTGAAAACATATAGGTAGAATTTGAAGTAGTCATGTATGATGATTTCTATGAGATGAAGTGTGTCATTCAATGAAATGAAGTCTAGTATAAGTGTTTTCTCATTCGTATATCGAGTTCATGACCAATTTGCGATTAAACTCTATCAAAAACATTTAAAATCTTATATAAACTAATGTCAGAGTGATCATGGGTCGTATAAACATCATTTGCGACTTAAATTCGGTCTTCTTATGTGTTCATTATAAGTGGTACTAGGGACAGGATATCTGGTACTAACTCTCCATAATGATTGGTACTACTTTTTGTAAATGTTGAGCAGAATTGAAATAATAAATTTTTCTTCAAAAAAGTAGGTACTATTTGATCAAAATCAAGTACCACGCAAAACAAGATGCGGTACTATGTTTCCCAAAACCGGTACTATTATCAAAATCGCAATTTTTCTAATCCTTCATGTCTACCATGACACGTGGATCGTTCACACGTGATTTGGATGAAAAAAAATAGAATTGAAAACAGATAGGTAGAATTTGAAGTAGTCATGTATGATGATTACTATGAAATGAAGTGTGTCATTCAATGAAATGAAGTCTAGTAGTAGTGTTTTCTCATTAGTGTATCGAGTTCATGACCAATTTGCGATTAAACTCAATCAAAAACATTTAAAATCTTATATAAACTAATGTCAGAGTGAGCATGGGTTGTATAAACATCATTTGCGACCGAAATTCGGTCTTCTTATGTGTTCATTACAGGTGGTACTAGGGACAGGATATCTGGTACTAACTCTCCATAATGTGGTACTGACTTACACTATGACTGTTACTACTTTTTGTAAATGTTGAGCAGAATTGAAATAATCAACTTTTATTCAAAAAAGTAGGTACTATTCGATCAACATCAGGTACCATGCAGAATAAGATGCGGTACTACGTTGCCCAAACCGGTACTATTATTAGAATCGCGATTTCTCTAATCCTTCATGTCTACCATGACATGTGGATCGTTCACACGTGATTTGGATGAAAAAAAGTGGAATTGAAAACATATAGGTAGAATTTGAAGTAGTCATGGATGATGATTTCTATGAGATGAAGTGTGTCATTCAATGAAATGAAGTCTAGTAGTAGTGTTTTCTCGTTAGTGTATCGAGTTCATGACCAATTTGCAATTGAACTCAATAAAAAACATTTAAAAATCTTATATAAACTAATGTTAGAGTGATCATGGGTCGTATAAACATCATTTGCGACCGAAATCCGGTCTTCTTATGTGTATTACAAGCGGTACTAGGGACAAGCCTGTCTCTAGTACCACTTGTAATAATGTGGTACTGACTTACACTATGACTGGTACTACTTTTTGTAAATTTTGACCACAATTGAAATAATCAATTTTTTCTTCACAAAAGTAGGTACTACTCGATCAAAAGCAGGTACCACGTAAAATAATATGCGGTACTATTTTGCCCAAAACTGGTACTATTTTCAGAATCGCGATTTCTCTAATCCTTCTCTAATCGCGACAAATTTGCAATTAAACTTAATTAAAAAAATTATAAATCTCTTAAAAACTAGTGTGAGAGTGATTATTTGTCATGTAAACATCATTTGAGACCGAAATTCGGTGTTTTCTGTGTTCGTTACAAGTAGTACTGATGAGCTAATATCCGGTACTATAACAATACAAAACTGGTACTATTGTGAAGAAAAGGTTGAAAATGTTGACCAAAATTGAAGTAATTCATTTTTTGGTACTATTTGTTTTAAAACTGGTACAATTTTACTAAACATAACTTAAAACTTTCACATCAATTTTTTTTATACAAAGTAGGTAGTATTTACTATACAACGAGTACAATATTGCATAAGGTTGGTACTAATTTGAAGAAAACTGGTATCAGTTTCTAAAACATAACTTTCTTAAGAAAACTAGTATCATCTTCTCAAAATTCATCAACAAATGTACCTTACAAACCAATAAGAAAAAACTGAACACAGTCAAGAAAATCTCTAAAAACAAAATCCTCTAATCATCCTATAATATATGCATTGACATACAAATTTCCTCTTTGTTATTTTAAAACCAATGCCAAAATATCATAAATTAAATCTCAATGTTTTCACAGTTTCACCATCTTCCTCAGTTTCTCAAACCTCAGATCCCGTAGAAATCGAGCAATCACCAAACGTTCATGCCTCTAGCTGAACAAAATTCCCCTTCTCATTAAAACATTCATATTCATTAAAAAATACACCATCCATTTGAATAAAATAAAATAAAATAATCCCTCCCCATCTGGCTGAGTCCCTCCAAAAATTCACGTCGACTCTCGAGGCCAAGAATCCCCCTCGACAGCACAAAGAGCTTAGCTTCGCTTCTGCAGCTGCTGCAGCCTTCACATCATTCTCATTATCCTCCCCACTACCATCAATCCCCCTCGTCTCGACCACCAGGTCACTGTAATAACAGCAAATGCAATCACTATTGTTCACATACAAATGCGGGACCCACTTCTTCTTCTTCTTCTTCTTCTTCTTCTTCTTCTTCTTCTTCGCCTGCCCGACCACCTCATCACACGACATGTTTTCATTTGCTCGTCTGCATCATTGACTGGACCTTCCTCCATGCCTTCCCGGCCTTCTCCCCCACGGCTCTCACTTCCGAAGCTAAAGAAATCGAAGGCGGGTTGAAAAGGTGAGCCTCCACACACACACACCTTTCTTAGCCAGTTCTTTCCCAATCTGAAGCGAAAAACCAGCATCCAGTGAGTGCTCGGCCACACACACGTTATTGCTCCCGTACCTTCCGAAAATGTCTTTCAACGCTTTTAGCGCGCGTTCGAATCTCACGGACCCTTTCAAGCTCTCCCACATCAAGAACCGGTGGCCATCCTCGATGTCTCGTCTAATGGTGGGACCCTTCAGGAGAGTTCCGTGGAGGGCTAAGACAGCTCGTGGGGCACCACTCGGCATCAGAAGCACGAAGTCCGATAAGGCAGCCGATTATAGAGTTGTTACGCTCGTCCATAAGGGTCTCGACGAGCTTGTATTCGAAAGGGGCCCACCATTTGGGGGATAGGGCCTGCTCGGTGTCTGTTCGGTTCTCCTGCCGGTCGAGCTCGAGGAGGTAGATAGCTTGTATGAAGCAAGCTATTACAGTCCTTTTGTAGTTTGTATCCCTTCCTGTTGGATTAAGAGATGACCATCCATTTATATTCTCATCTAGAACAACTACTCACCAACAAGTCACAACCCAACAAGAAATTCTGGATAAATAGTTGAAGTAGGGAAAATCAATTATTTCCAATGTTAACAAACTAGATAAAAAAAAAAAAAAAAAAAAAAAAAACCCATTTCCCCTTTGCCAGTTGAATCTGTAAAAGAACGTACCTTTCCCTCCAAATTGTATCATTTTTGAATTTTATCGTCTTGGGTAATGAAAAGAATAAAGAGAGATTTGATTCAATAGGCAAGAAACAGAGCTACCACCGTGCCGCCCGACCTGGGTCCAAAATCGCAAAATCCCGAGCCCAAAAACCTCACTCCGCTTCATCGACCACACGATTGGGCTCGGGCGACAGCCCGAGGAAGAATCCACGGCGAGTGACGGGGACAGAGCATCTCTGAAACACAGTTGTCCTGCCGGGCGGAGAGCAAGCGAGTTGAGCCCAGCGGCGGACCTCCGGCTGATAGAGGAGGAAGAAGGGGGAGCGGTGAGTGAAATAGACGTGCTCTGCTGGAGGAGTGAACTGAGAGGAGTGAATTGAGAGCAATGTAATTCAAATGAATTACAAGAAGCGAATTGAGAGAGAGATCTGAGAGTAGCGATGGAATTCAGAGGAAAAGAGAGATGAGATCTCAATTTCTTTTTCCATTTTTATGATTTGTAAGCAAATAAATGAATAATAATAATATCAGTATATATATGGGGAGTGAATAGGAAAGAGAATATTGTATTAGGAAGTGCAGAGGAACAAAAAAAGCATTAGGGACTGACAAGGAAGTTGTAAAAGTGATTGGAGATTTATAAGGAATTATCCGTTGTTATTTTTTTCTTTTTGAATAACGCTTTTGCATTATTCTCTTTTCGGTGGTTTAGGGGGTGATTGTTTATGAATTCAACTAGTTTTTATTTGGTTTGTCTTTTAACTATAGTTAATTTTGAAAAAAAGTGGTATGGTAATTGTGAGTGGATATATTAAAATAATATTTAAATAAAATGATTAAAGTTGATTTGATGTAAAGTAGGAGAAAAATGATTGAAAGTGATAGTTAGTTAAATATATGTGAGTGGATGAATAATGAATTAAAGTTGATGTGATGTGTTAAAATGATTAGTTGATATTATTTAATTATATTAATAATATGAGAGATAGTGAAATTGAGTTAAAATTATGTTTTGATTGTTTTTTTAACGTAGAAATTATAAACAAACACCTCTCAGTTGGACAAATTGATAGCGTATTATCTCAGAATATTTTTGAACACGACTCACTAAATGATAACATGTGGAAATCTTGGACAGTAAGCTTGTTTTTAAGATATGGTGGTCTTAATTAAATTTGTAGTTGATATATGTTACAAGATGATTTGAAATTTGTTTTATCCCCATCCCCAATACCTTAAAGTCTTATATTGTCTTTTTGCTTCCGAGAAAATAAAATAATAATAATAATAATTATAACAATAATAATGTTTATTGTTATTATAAATATAAAGGGATTTTGTTTACGCTAAGAACCAATATCGGCAAAAATTGAAAAGAAACACAACCGCAGAGATTAGACATAAATAGTTTTGATAAAATATATTAATAGTAATGATTTATTCTCTCTTATTTTTATTATTTGTCATCCTAGCTTAATTATTCATTTGTTAAATAAATGTCATTTTGGTTATTTTATACATATTTTTCCATCATTACTCGCATCTAACTAATAAATACATTACGTCTTTTCATATTCAATCTCTATCTTTTCTCAAAACATCAATTTCTATTCTTATTAATGAGAGTTATTATTGACAAAAAATTATTCTTAATTATTGACAACTTCTCAAAATGACATTTATTAAAAATAAGAGGGAGTATTATTTTATAAGCATGGATCATAATAAACTTAGTCACGCTTTATTCTGTGCCATATATATAGCTTTTTAAAGTTAGTTGCAACTTGTTCTTAAACATCGCCATCGAACACGTAATCAACATATTGTCATTTATTTGTTTTGTTCAACGCTCGCTCCACTATTTCCAATTAGGTCCATAATTAAGGCTACATTAATAATTGATAGATGGACTAAGTACTAAATAGGGGTTTCCTTAATAAAAAATTCAAAATATATACTGCGGTTCAAGTTTCTTCTCGGGACTTTGGGCGATGACCCAGCTTTTCGGGTCAACTCACGTCTGCAGACATGAATTTGGTGCTTTTGTATATTATGATAAGGGAAAATGCTACAATCCCGTTACGGAACCATTCCGTTGGGATTGTAACCGTTAGATCATCAAGTAACCGTCAATGATGCTTGATCTAACGGTTACAAATCTCAACGGAATGGTTCCGTAACGGGATTGTAGTCTTACCCTATGATAAGATCATAACATTTTTATTAATAATAATAATAATCTTGGAGTGTTTGTGGAATAATTATCTATTTGAGGCTTGTGAATGATGAATTTAATTTGGAAAGCAAATCATGAGTATTGAGTAGTCATAAAAAAGAATTTTTTATTTTCTGACTTATTATATTTGTTGAATATGCTGTTCGTTGGGTATTAAAATTTGTGAAGAGATAAGCTAGCAATATCACTTTCACAATTTCCCCCTTATATTTTATTTTAATTTATTTATTTTATCTTTTACATGAGTTAATTATACTAGTTGCATACAGAAGATCTAGAAACCAATTGGTGATTTAATGGTCCAAGTCTAGCATGCAAGAGAACTTTGCTCTAGCCAATATATACATTTTTTGTTTCTCTGAAAGTTCACACAGGAAAAATCAATCAAGTATTTATCAATTATTTAAAAAATAATAATATCAAAGCAACAATGTGGACGAACATCAAAATGTTAAGTAATTACTAGCTAGAACCATTTGAAAGTTTACAGCAAATTTATTCATTGAAAGAAATTAGGCACACAACCATTCTAATTAACAAATAATTTCATCATTAATTTGAATTTATAACTTAATCGGGGAAACCTTTACATCCCATGATAGCTACTCTAGCTCTATATATATTTCCTCTAGTGTTTTATCTTATGCATATATTTATTCACAATAAAAACTATACAATACCTGTGTACTACACAAATACTTGTTAAGAAAATTATTTTTAAAATTAAATAATAATAACAACAATATTTATTTCATATTAAATATATGTATTTATTAGACTAATTTGAGGTTTTCATGAAAATTAATAAGTCGATTGAGAGCTTACAAAACAAATCAAGGTTACATTAGTCAATCAATATCGTCATTACCAAATATGCCCATACAACTTAAGGGTTATATTAGTCAAAATATTATGGAATTAACAAGTTAGTTTTTCAATATTTTTGGAATGTCCGAACCTAAAATTATTGATTTAGAATAATATTATATTTTATCCAAACCATACTACGAAGCATGTTTGATGGGTCTACTTCCAGATCTGAAGTAAACCGGTGGTTATGAGCTCAGATCTGCTTGAACCGCCTCCAATTCGTTGCTAGACCGCGAGAATACCTGCAAAAACTCAACGCCGGAGGTGTTTCCGGCGTAGAGCCTCCGACGCTCAAGTCAGTATGTGAATGATGAGGAGAGGCTGTGCAGCAGCTATAGGGAGAGTGGGAATGAATCAGAGTTAGGGTTTGGGTTACCTTGTCTCCTTTATATAGGAGTGAATACTTACTTGAAGTGCCCAAAATGCCCAGGTCGGTGGACCTAGTGTTAGAGTAGGGTACCCGGCGTTCCAATCTAATTGGATGTATTCTACTTTAAATACAGTCTATTGGAATTATATTATGAATAAGGCATTTCTTTATCTTAAGAGAAAGCATTTATCTTATAATTGCACTTAAGATAAAATCCCTAGATCACTTATGGTTATAAGGTATGGTTGCGCATAGAGATGGTGATCATGGAACATATCTTGAAAGCCGTGATCTTAAATACAGTTCCAAGTCGATGGATGTTTCGAGATGGGATATCGAATAATCCATAAAAGACTTGCACATAGTTTGTATGCTTGTTGGACAAGAATGTTGCATTCCATCAACATTAGCGTAAGACGTAAGTACATTTATGTGGGTGCTTGTTAGAGAACAAGTTCACTGAACATGACCGTATGAAAATTCTTAATGAAGAATTTATTCAGTCGAATAAGAATTTTCATGTTACAATAGTACATGACTAATCCTAAGACTTGAGGCACAATGGTAACTTTGTGCATATTACATTCTACTTTGATTTATCCTTTTGGTAGCTAGCACTATCGTTTAAAGGGATAAGTTGGGTATTATGTTAATATGTATGGAAGTTTGTTAGTGGCCAATAAAGGATTCGACACTTATGAAGATAAGTGAATTTCCTATGTGTTTCATAGTTATTAATCCAAAGTCCTTGGCCAAGGCAGAGATGAATAGTGATTCATAACCGGGTTAATAAACATGAAATAGAATCATAGTTATTAAGTCAATTTGGGTTTCGACAAAATCATACCCAAGACTTAATCGGGAAATTAGATGTCGAAAGGATTTTACATGTATGGAGTTGTAATCGGAATAGGTTTACTCGCTATTCACTTAATACTAGATTCATGATACTTGCTAGGTGTTACCATGATATGTGGGTTCATGAATTAAGGGGTTAATTCTTGAATAAGAGTTAATAAGATTTAACTCAAATTACAAAGTGTTGTAAACCCACTACTAGTATTAATAGTGAACCTAAAAGGTCACACTAATTATGAACAAAGGTAAAGATTGTATTTCTAATGGTTAGAATTAATTGATAAATATCTAATTTGATTAGATGTCAATTAAAGGAATATATTAATCAATAAGATTGATTAATTACATTTTGGATATTACTTTAGTAATTAAAGTAATTACTAAATTAATAAAGTTGAATTTTAAAATAGGATTTTAAATTTCAAATCCAAAATAATAATAATATGATTATTATAATATGGATGAAAATTGGGAAATAAATATAATAATAAAGTCTTGGAATAGATTCTCAAGATTTATTATTATATTATTATTTTTATCTTTAAATATGATTTAAGGATTAAAATAATAAAATGAATATAATAAATGGTGGTTAGATGGTTGTTTGAACCACTTAACATTGTTTATTATATATAAAGTCAATAGTTAGTAATATGATTTTTAAATAAAATCAGATTTTATTTAATATTACTAAATATTGATTATTTTATGCTAAAATGTTTAGAATAAATAGATGCAAAATGTTTGCAAATTAAGCTAAGTGATTTTGTGAGAAATTCAAAGAGAGAAGAAAGTGTTCTTCATATATTTCAAGAAAGTGTTCTTGGAAATTCTCAAATTATATCTATACATATATATTCCTATACGAGAAAACCGAGACATTCCTACTAGCGAAGGAAGGTAGTCGGAACCGGGCTTCGTAGGGTGGATACAATTAGAGGGAAGACACTTGGATTCCTCAAGCGAGTAACCTCAATCCGTTGACGTTACAAACCGGGAACCGATTCCCACAATCCACTTCGGTTAAATTGAAGGAGTTCAAGAACTACTCGGTAAATACTATTTATTTGTATTTGTATTTACTTTATTATAACAAATCAAAATTTGTATGTGATGCATGTTTTAAAGATGACGATCAGTTAATTCGCAATTAGTATGTACGAGTAAAGTATTTAATGGTTAAATACTTGTTTAAAAAGTTTTAAATTCCGCTGCTTAAAGCCCGTACGGTACTAGCGAACCCAACACCTAGAAGGTCCAAAATACCCTGGTCGATTCGTCTCCCCTTGTTGCTGAGTCATCGCAAGATTCCTTCTTATCCTTGGTAATGTGTTGAGCTTTGGATATGTTGCAAGTGTGGTGAATCGTCTTCACCACTTTGATCCTCGAGATGTACAGAGTCGACCTCGAGAACTAAGAGGTCGACTTACGAATATATGCGGTTTCGGAGGCTACACCTGGTTTAATTCCCCGCGGTGGTCGTCTCTTAGAGAGTCGTCATGAGGGAGTCGACTAGTGGAAATCGACCTAGAGTATCTGGATGGTTGGGAATTGCATTGATGTCCTTCTAGTATGAGGTCGACTAGCAAAAGTCGATAGTTAGAGGTCGACTTGTGAGAGTCGACTAGACCAACTTCTGCCTCTTCTTGATTGTTTTCGGTAGGATCGACTTCAGGGAAGTCGACTTGAGCATGCCGACGAGTCACCTCGATATGTGAGTCGTTCAAGTGGCTCACCGGTCGAGTAGAAAGCCTCATAGACTGGGTTATCCTTATGTGACTATATCATCTAGTCCCCCCCGAAAATTACTCTAAACAGTCGACTGTTTAAGAGTAAATTTGGTAATCGACTTCTTTTATTAACTATACTCGTTCTTTGTCCTCGACATCAAAGCTCTACCCTTGTGGCTGTTCGATGCTGTAGTGGTCTCATCATTGTCTTCTGGATAATTCTGACAACCTGACACCTTTTCAAATTTCGAATTTCAAATTCGTAATTATCACATCACTTTAAGTCCGCCGCCTCGAATTCCGCGACTCATCCGAACCGTTGATTCCAATTGAATCTAAAGGCTAAGATCCTCCTTTATCCTATATAAATATCTTTCAAATCACTTTTCACTTCCTTCTCAAACTCTTCTGAGCTTTCGAATCTCTCCGGCAATAAAGCGCTTCCGAGCTTCATTGGCAATCCATTCTCCGGTAACCGCAAGCTTCAAGACTTTCAGCGACAATCATGTGTAAGTATTACGCTCTTTGTACTTTTTGCTCTCTTCTTTTTTTTTTTCTTGATTTTTCACGATTTTTTGCACCTCTTTCTGGGTTACTCTGATCTGGAGCGCCCTTGCATGTTCTTCATGTTCTTATCTTTTTGTGCGATTCTTTGGGGTTAGATCTTCTTCACTTAGAGATTTTCTTGGATTTTCTGTTTGCGACTGCCTTGCCCCCCTCGGTTTTTATTACAGGAGTCGGTCTTGCCTTATTTAAGTCGTTTTATGTTAGATGTGTCGACATGCACTATGCCCTTCTCGTCTTCCCTTCTATTTAAGTTCGTGAATTATTCTGTGGTTCCATTTATCTCGGATCCATTTTCTCGCCGCTTCCCTTCTATTCTTCTGGCTCGACTTGTGATGATCTCCTCGAGTCGACTTATCTTCTATTGGTGTTAACTCTTGCTTCATGCTGATTTCTTTTCGCCTAATCGACTTCTCTTTCGTTTCTTTTTCTAGATTCTGATCCCGACTCTTCACCCGACACTGTCGAACGTCTAATCGACGCAGGCGCTCATTCCTCTGATTCAGTACAAGTAGTCGGCTTCAAATTAGCCGATCAATCCCAAAATTCTCCTTCGGATGTGTCTTCTTTCGGCATCGATCAAGATGCTTATAATCAAGCGTGGATGTCGGGCGTCTTGGCTAAAGATCCCGAATCTTCCCGCGCCTACGCATCTCCTCGTCTCGACCTCATTCGCCGAGGTATTCCCCTTAGGATCTTGGATTTACCTGTATATAGAACTAGTCCTTCTTTGCCCATAATCTTGCCTCTTCTCGAGGCTCGAGATGTTGTTTCTATAGCATGTCCTTTAGCTAAGTTAGCTGTTTTAAACCCTTTTTGTTATGCGTCTGCAGCCGAGGTCGAGGGCTTTAGGGTGTACAGCGGTCTTCCCGCAGACTGGGAACTCGTTATTCCCAAACCCAATGACAACTTCGCCAAACCTCCTCCCGGCTTTTACACCTTTTTTATCGATCAAGTGTTGTTCGGACTCCGTTTTCCCATTCAACCAGAGCTTCGTGCTATCAGCGACTTGTACGATGTACCCATAAATCAGTTTTCTCCTAATGCGATTCGCATCATGATCGCCTTCATTGTTGTATCTCGA